TTTAAGTGTTAGCCAACATTTTCTTTTCTTACTTGGCACTACTTACAAAATTAATTAGTAATATTGGCAGATAGTTGGAAACTTCATTTCATTGATAATAAAACACATGGTAGTGAGTATTTTGCTTCCTGTACTTTCGTTACCCATTTTGATGCCTTAAATTTCATTCATTCAGGTTGAAACCGGATTTTGAGTACTTATATTTTTTTAGAGCATTTTTATTGCAAAATTTAAGTGGTTATACGCATGGACTCTTAGGTAGCATATCCGTTTGACTAAATGCACTAATTATAATAGGTAATATACTATAAATCATGACATATTGGATGGTGAATTGGGCCTCAATTTACCTAAACCTAGGAATTAAATGCCTACTAAAATTCGGAATCAGTGATCTACACATTGAGTTAATATTTCGAACATTGACTGATATTAAATTAAAAATTGAAAATATATATTTTAAAATTCCTGTATCAATCTTTTTTTATTAAAAGGGAAGATTTATATTAAATTTTCAAGTAAACTTTCACTGCCCGCTAAAATTAAAGTTAGATGAATCAGTTTTGCAAATCTGTTAATCTTACCAGAAATTTTACTTTAAAATATCTCTTAGTGCTTTATTATGCAACTTTTCTAAAACACCAATGACCTCCTCCATCTATGTTGGATCAAAAGTAATTAAAGTGACTAGATCAACCTTAATGAATTAAAAAATAGCTAATAAGCACCAAACACTCTCTAGCAAAATCGTTTGGAATCCAATTTCGAAGCCATAACAATGAAGGTTTAATTAGCCCTCGCATAAACATTGTACCATCCCAATTTAAAATTCAAGTGAATTAACACTTCTTGAATCATTGACGCTGTTCTCTGCACCGGTTTAAGCCCCCCCCCCTTCCACCTCAGTTAACCGGCGCATTACTGTGAGCGAAATCGCGAGATTGACTAATTCCATACCCGAAACAATTTCTGACATTTTGAAATTAAATATCATATATAATCAATTTATTTTGATATACTTGCTTAAAGTCCCCAAATAGTCATAACCATAAAGAGACCAATAGAATTCTCTGGCAGGGGGGGGGGAATTTATTTAATTGGAAAAAAATAAACCATTTCAACCGCTGCATTTTCAACTAGAAGCCGTTTAATTTAAATAATACTGGAATACCGATTGGCACATACTTGTCCCGTTTTCGTTTGGTCAGGGATTTCGTCAAAATTTCTCCACAGCTTCACTTCAAATATTACCTGCATACATCGCTGACTATACGTGAAACGTTACTCAAAGTTCTATTGGATCACATTTCCTTCCAACAAGCGAGAAAATGACAAAAGCATTAGAAAGTCCTGTTTATTTTGAAGTATTATGAGGTGTCTGGGATCATCTAATTTGTCAGAGGTGCTTATAACTTTAAAATTGAGTTAAATGATCCTTTAATTTAAGTTGTTATTTGATTAAGTCGGTCAAACGCAATTCGTTCCCATGATATAAGTTGAAATTGACCGTGCATGGAATGGGCAAAGTGGATAGAGCTTAGATTTCGGAACTGGCTTTTTTATCTTCTTCCTAAATTTAGTGGTAGGTGAAGGTTGGTTGCACACACTTCGGGTAGATAAATCTACTGGATATCATACATTTGCATTTTCAATAACACTTATTCCGCAAAACCGTTTAATTTTGACTGATGATTGCTGACAATCAAATGGGATTGAAAGTTTCATTCCTTTGGGAACTCTTACCGCAATTCTTCAAATGCAAATTGTGGCTTTCTTTTCAAGTTTATATTCGGCTTCTCTTCCCCTTCTTCAACAACTAATTACGCGCAGCTACATCGAATTAGCAAACTCGTTGATTGATGATTCTGCATTCCAGTTATAATTTCAAGTTGAATTCTGCACTAGACCTACCTCTCTTGTATAATTTCGAGAGAGAGATGTCAAGGGTAAATATCAGTTTAATATTCTATAGGTCAAAGGTCAAGCTATTACACCGATTTCATTGTTCTGCTGAGGTTAGAATTTACAATAAATGTCGTGTAGGGATTGTGAAAAGATGGCGAATTTATTCAAATGTTTTAATTTTATACTTTTAATCATCCATTAGTATTATTAAGTGCGTAAAACTACGAAAATGTTCAGTTGTGTTGACGCTTGATTGGAGTTTTTAATGTAAAAATTTATGTTTTTTATAAAACTATAATGAATAACATTTTGGTAACATTAGAAGCGTTGTGCATATAATGAAGTTTTGCCAAAATTATGATAATTAAGGTAATTTAAAATTTAATGCTAATTTCAATTGGTTCACAAAGGTTGCTATTTGCACGAAGTCTTTAAAGGGCTTTCGAGAATATATCCCAGAGCATAGTGGGACCAAAAACCAATTTATTTAGGCATTCTGTATTTTGATAAAATTCTCATGTAAATGGTAGCTTCAAGAAATATAACATTTCAATCGTTTTTGTCGTTTATAAAAATTAAAGTAACCGAAAATTGGATATTGGAAGTCGTTATTGAATATGACAGCCAAGAAACAGTAATTCAAGTCCACTCATTTCATTTGAATTTGTATAAGATTGAAATTGAAATTTCCGACAATTACTCCGGTTTTGTCATGTTTACTTATTTATCTCAAATGGCAGGCGTTTTGATAGTTACCATTAACCCTTTAGTTGACTTCAGGCTTCACAGAGAGGAGGAGGAACATCAAAGCGACAGAAAGTAGAGAGGGAGGGGACAGAATAATGATTCATAGATGTAAAAGAGAAAGACGAAGAAAAGGTGAAGTGAGTACTGTGGAAGGGGTCGAATATGACATGCATTGGGGTGATGGTAGTTTGAAGTCAGAAGTCAACTGCCGGTTAATAAACTTTTTTGCCTCATGAGTATACGTTGTCTAGAGTGCACCACGTGGAGGTAAGTCTATCGCGCAATGCAGTTTAGTCATATTTGATTTACGTTAGCCATGGCTATGTTCTATTCAACTTAGAATCTGCCAACTTAAAGAAACTTTAGAGTAAGGGAGTTTAGAAGACCTTTGAGGATAGTCTCAAAAAACTAAATTCGTATGTTTTGTTCATAAACACATGAAAATATGCTTATTTTTAACTCCTTTGATATATATATATAAAGTGCCCTTTAGATTTATGTACTACAAACAAATAGAAATTACTAAATAATAATATATAAATTCATTCAATGAAATCATGCCCTCAAGTTTGTACATTTTGCCTGTTTTGTTTAACTTTTTGATTTCAAAATTTCTTTAAACAATCCTCCCCCTTTTTTCTTTAATTGTGAAGGTGCGTCATTAATTAAATCCCGGGGGTGATCAGAAGAAAGGGTCAATTTTCCTTTAATTTCGGTGCACACATGGTCTTGTGATGAATTTTTATTTTCCGACAGTCCATCAAAATTACTTCCCAGAGAAGGCAGAAGATCAGCCTGTCAATTCAATGCTTTTAATTCATACATTAGACGTCAAGGTGGTAATGCGAGTAGTGGCCATAGTACTTCCACTTATTCATAGAGAAATTATGCGAGATAATTTTAGAGCAGGGAAAAAAGGATTCGGCCTAAGAAGTAGGAGAATTTCGCTTGGCCACCCCTCTAGTTTCACAGGAAATGTTCAAGTAAATTCTGATTTCTCACAGGAACCTTTCAGAGACATTCTGATTGGTGACACCTTGATTGCCTTCACATGACAGGATGTTGACCAACGAAAGTCAGTGTCTGTGAAGTGGTGACCCCAATGGTAACACAAACACATCCCACTTGCCTTTCTGTTAGCATTTGAATAATTTGGATAGACTCGCATTCCATCGCCCTGTTTTAAGTTTTCCTTAGGACAAGAATTCGAACTTTAAGGGAAGGGGGTATGAAAATTTGGCCATTTTAGCCACAACAGGCAGACATCTGATTCTTGGATGATATTCTAGAGTGAGAAAACCAGGAGGCGATTTCAAAGCGACTAAAGACGGAGCCATTTTTTGGCTTTAGCTTGACTGTAACATTTCCTAGAGGTATTCACGGAGCTAATGCTTTCTCATCATGGATTTGTGAGAGTGTAATTCAAACAGTGTCCTTCATTCAATCTTTGTGAAAATCTAAAGACTGCTGAACCTTTCTTTGAATTTCCCGTCCTCATATTATACCTCGCAAAAGAGGTAATGCTGGCCTTTCAAGGCGAAGAGAGGTCAAACCCACTTGTCTATTGTTTCCTTTCGGTATTTGGATAGATAATTTCAGAGTCACTGTATGCCTCGATTGTATGTTAAGAAACACATCGACTTGGAGGGGGTGGGGGATTATAACCTAATTCCCAATAAAAGAAATTAAAAATCCATGTTATTATTTGTAATTTTCTTCTTTTATGATAGCGAAGGATTGACATAGTAGATTGACAAGTTTTGCTTAAACTTTGCATTCCCAAATCCGTTTGTCCTGACTTTACCCGAAATCGGTCAGATCCTTTAGCCTAAACCTCGGTTAATTAGCTATAACATTCAAGCACAATACAGAAAGTGTATTTGACCAATGAGAAGTTGGCGGAAATTTCGAATTTTATATTTGAAAAAATACTCAGCACCCAATATATGCTACTAGCCATTTGAATTCGAAAAGGTGGTTCTTATGAAATTTCCTAAACAAGTTGCCGAGTGATTAATAGTAAAACACGATTTTTACAATGCGAGTTTTGTTAATTAGATCCTTGCCTCAAAATTAATTAATTCTGACAAGAGGAAGAGTAAGCGTCTTTAGTGTAGAAGAAGAAGTTTGCAGACTATAAGTAATCTCAAACTGGTTAATTCACTCTCATTAATTACCAGCTAATTCATTAGATGAGTAAATTTTAGTAAAACATCCTAATAAGGCATAAAACAATTTTCTTTAGGAATGGCTTGATTATTACGTAGTTTCACATCAGTAATCTTCCATGAATTAAGTAAAAAATATCGATCGGTAAATCAACTTGTATTATTTCCAGTTCCCAGTAGATGGATCAGCCTCCAAATGACGACAGTTCTCCTAAGTTACTACACGTAATCAAGAAACGATCAGGCAACGCCAACCAAGATCTCCCCGCTCTCCCAGAAGATCGTGAATTTGAACCCGGCCAAAATGCGGACACTTCAATGATGACCGGTTCTGATCGCTCCCATCAATCTCTTGACACCTCCATGAATCAGAAAAAAAGTTGTTTCACCGTTCTCCGACCACCAAGATGCCTCAGGCATGCACTTAATTGGCTCTACAGAACAACTGGTGGGGTTGTCACTTACATAGCCTTTTTCCTCCTCATCTACATGCTTCTATGGATATTCACTGATAAGGAGGCCCTACCGCCTTCGTGCTATGATTATACTGGTGTGATTGAGTCGGATAGAGAAGACGGTAAAGTGGCGGTGTGCTTTGGTGGGAAGACACTCTCAATCACTCTCTTCTATGCGTTCGCTTTCGCTGTCGGAGAGGCCATAGAATTTATAAAGATTCCAGGACTTGCAGGTGAGTCGCCGATTGCCTCAGCTCAATTTAGATTAGGTTTTGGAACATCTTTGCCGAGATGTGTCGTGCTTCGACTCCTAGTTATTATGTGTAAACTAAGCTCATGTAAATTCTATTGCAGAGAAAATGCGATTAGGTGGTTTATAGATCAAGGACAGTGAAGAGTCGAAGTGATCTATGTGTGTTGAGGATTAGGGTGATGGCGAGCACTAAGCTGTCAAATTTCTCATGTTCAGATGAGTTCTCGCTTTTGGTGGCCTCAGTGGTCAATTGACATAATTTCACCAGCAATATTGTGGTTGAGATTACATCCAAGATAGTTAGAAGTTTGATTAATTTCAGTGTTGGTCGTGGTGCCGAGATGTCTACGTGATTTCTTATGCAATCGCGAGCAGGAAGATGATAGTTAGGTAACTATGTCGTCCAATGTTTCTTTAAATTATTGATTTATTTCAAATGGCTGGCGTTTTGACAGTTATCATTAGCCCTTTAGCTGACTTCTGGGCATCACAGAGAGGAGAAGGAACATCAAGGTGACAAAAAGTCGAGAGAGGGGACAGAATAATGATTGCCAGATGTAAAAGAGACAGACAGACACAAAGGCAGAGAAAAGGTAAGATGAGTACTGTGAAAGGGGTCGAATATGACGAACACTCGGGTCATAGTAGTTTGAAGTCAGAAGTCAAATGCGGATTAATACACTTTTGTGCCATAAAAGTATATGTTGCTCTGGGTGTACCACATGGAAGTAAGTCTATTGCGCACCCTTTCTTTAAATTTTAATATTTGAATCAAACTAATGGAATTTTGTGATATCTCATGCCTAAAGTGCAAAAAAGTTGAAACACATTGAAACTAAATAACAGTATCATTTTATACTTGAAGCATGTTCAGTTT